TGTCTGTCTATTTATTTGAGAGAGAGGGATTGAGAGCAAGCGAATGGCGGGGAGGGGCAGAGGGAGAGGGACAAGCAGACTCCCCGCTGAGCATGGAGCCTGATGCAGGACTCAATCTCATGACCCTGAGATCATGACCTGAGCTGAAATCCAGAGTTGGACATTTAACTGACTGAGCTACCCAGGCGCCCCAATGATGTGATTTTTTTTTTTTATGTGAGTTTGGAGCACATGAGGAACAGTTGGGAAGAAAATCAGGGGAATTGAAAATATGGATCTGAAGGTCAAGTGGATGTTCCCTGAACAAAGGCAGAGATGTGGGACCTGAGACTGTGGAGGCGATTAGACCACCCCCAGGGGGTGGGGGGCAGGGCAGACATGAACACTGATGCTCCCTAAGGCAGAGGAGGATGATCCAGAGAAGGACCTGGAAAAGGAGCTGACAGAAAAGAAAAAGAAGAAGAAGAAGGAAAAGAGAGTGATTCAAGAGAGCATTCCTGTGGGGAGTTGTCTACCAGATGATCTTCATCTTAAATCTTTTTACAAAAAGATTATTCATAGAAAGGGATGGAAATGTGACGGCTCTTAATATGCCCTGTGACTGTGAAACATCCAGAATTGTGTATATTTTGCATGATTGTGTTTATTAAAAACATACTAGCTTTTTAATAAATGACTTGATAATTATAATAATAATTCTAATAAATAATAATCATCAGCCATGTCAGTTGATGCCTGGGCCTTAAATCTCATGAGGACCTGTCTCTCAAGTGTCCCTTTGGATGGGATTAAGTGAATCTAGACAGCTCCAGAGTCCCTCCAAGGTTGCTAACTGACTGACCCCTCCCCCCCGACCCCGAGACCACTATTCCCTGGAATGAAGGGTCAGCCTAACAATGGTGCTCACAGCCTTACCCCCTTCACTCCACTGGGTGCTTCTCTGTGCTTTGCCCTTCAGAATGGTCTCCAGAGACTTGCTTCCCCTGGCTGGTTAGGATGAGGGATGAGACCTTCTAGCCCCATAGACTTGAGCACCAAGACTTCCAGCTACTTGGGATCATGCCTTCCATCAGGAAACCAAGGCATCTGGCAAAGCCAGTTCCCAGGGATCCTCTGTGTTTGGTGGACTTTTCAGGCTTCTGAATGCTACTTGTTAGTTCTCTGCCAGTTGGTGCTCTCACTGTTATCATGTCCCTGAGAATGGACTCCAATCTGTGAGCCTAGTCCCAAATAGGAATCAGAGCTAAGTGGATGGGAAACAACTCCCCAACTTCTATTCAATCCAGCAACTGTTTATTGAATCTCTACTCTGTGCAAGCATCTTCAGAACAGTGAGATAGCCACAAAGACCCCCAGGAATGTTTGGGTAAACATTCATAAGAACCTATCAGAGAAAAGACTATATCAGCCAGATACATTCATGTCACAGCCAAGATGATCTAAGTCCCTGAAATGTGGTAGACATGGTATCTGGGAGTGCTTGGTGTGAGAGACTAACATGGAGGAGGTCACTGCAAGTGGAGATAGTCAGGGGAGACTTCTTGGAGGAAGCAGGTATTTCCGCCAAATCAGAAGCTACCCTATTTGAATTGGCAGAAGAAGAGGAGGGGTTCTGGATAAAAGACCTTCAGGAGACACATAAGGAAGAATAACCATACTCTTTACAAGGGGTGAGGGGTGACTCAGACTCTTGTTTGCTTTAGGAATTTACCTCCAGACAGAAGCTTCCTTTTAAGTTTTTATCAAAAAGCAATATAATCCTTTTACTAAACACTAAGGAATAGAAAAAAATTCAGTCATGATCTCAGCATCTTAACACAACTTTTAGTGTTTTATTTTGCTTTTTTACTCTTACACATTTTTATTTTTATAGGGTTGTAACCAAAGGAATGTAAGGAAATAGATCAGAATGCAGCTATCATAAGTGTTTTTCCATGTTGGCTGACTGTACTAATTATCATCGTAATGGTAAAATAACATTCTATCGGGTGATTATACCATTATTTACTTAAGTTTTTGCATATTTGAGTTTTTCCCCCTTTATTTGCTATTATAAATAATGTTTTTCTTCCTGTATGTGGCTTTTTCTATATTTTGGATCATTTCCTTAGGACAAACACTCCAAGTCACAGTTACTGAATGAAGGCTCTGAATATTTTTATGGCCTTAAAGTAAGTCTTTTGAAAAGCAAATTGGCAATGTGCATTGATTTTTAGTGAGCCCAGCCACAAATGAGAGAGCCTCTTAACTGAAGCCTCACCAATATTAGCAATTTTAACTTAATACAAAAATCCTGCTTTAGTAAGTGAAAATCGTGCTGCTTGTCTTGTTCTTTTTTAAATTTGCATTTCCCCACGTTTGCTTGTAACCTCTTATTCCTTGCTGGCAGCCAGTACGTTCGTGCTTTTGCCAGAAGCTCTAGTCCTCTCCGTGCAGAAAAAATGGAAAATATGGGAGGGGCCTTAGACAGTGTTCCTAGCAAATGCTATTTTGAAAATCACTGTAGTATTTTAGTTTCAGTAAAAATGTATGTAAGAGCCAGGGGAGGTAGTGAGACCAATCCTAGTCCCTCTATGGGGAAACAGAAAGGAAGCCTGGGTATATACTGGGCCCCATGCCTCCCAGGTCGTGTAAGGCAGCACATTTGTGTAAGTGAGCCTTACCCCCGGGCGTATTCTGCTCCTTGTCATGGACTCGGGGAGGCTGGCTCCCCCACAGCTTCACTCTGTGTTCTCTGCAGGTGACTGGTGTCCCAGAAGACCAGATCCTGGTGGCCGTGTTCCCTGGCCTCCCCACTTCAGCAGAGCTCTTCATCCTTCCCCCCAAGAACTTGACTGAGAGGAGGAAAGGCAACGAAGAGGACCTGGAACAAGTAAGTGAGGGAACGCTTGGCGGGGGTGCTTGCCTGCACCTCCCAGTCCAAGGGCACACAACCTCACCTCCTGCTGCAAGGGGAGGGGAGCTTCCTCCCATTGGCCCAGCGGCCTGTCCGTCTGTCCAGCACCCAGGGCTGTGAGAAACAACAGGCTTGCCCAGAAGATGCCCAGGTGCACGCAGACTGGAGCATTCGGCACACAAGAAGGGAAGACATCCCAGAAGCACTCATTCCAGCAGTTGGCATTCCCGCAACTTCCTCAGGTCTCCTGCCCAGTGACCTGCCCATGGGGGGTGAGGGGGGAGGGGACACAGGAGAGAGAGAAGGAGGGATCTGAGTGTCCCTGTATGTTTCTGGGAAAATAGGCTTCTTGTCCTTAAAGATCCCGGTCAATTTAAGTTCTGCTTCAGGAGAGAAAATGAGCTGCTTTTAGACGTGTTTCTGTGGAGAGAGATGGATTGCTTCATTGCGTTTTGGCTAAGGAAACAGCATGTCCAAAGGGACTGTGGTTTACCGTCCTCATCGAATGGGCGTGTGGTTCCTGTGATGGGCACGCCGTCCCGGAAGTCAAGGAGCTGGTTCTCCCTCTCTCACTCCCTGCTCCTGCTGGGCTCTCATGGGCTGTGCTCTGCCTCACGCTTCCCTGCCTTCCTGTGACGCTAAGTCAGGAGGGGTAGAAAAAGTGAGTTTGAGGCTTCTCAACGTCGACACGAAGCACACATCTGCTCCCACACAAGGCAGTCATTGTGCAGACATCTTCCGTGTCCCTCCGATACTCACCTGGCTGCCACCTCATCCCCACGGCCGACCACAGTCCTCCTCAGGCAGCAGAGACCCGTCACAGTCCGTTCCTCTGGAAAATGAAGCCGATCCTCGCAGTGCAGGGCTGCACACCCAAGTTGGCCAGAAATAAATTCAGCTTCTCAATGCACGCATCACTTTTACAAGACCTCTTCATTCTGAAATAGCAAGTGGCATGTGTGAACTATATTTGGAAGCTACAATATCCATCCGTTTAGATAAATAGGTAATTACGGTGATGAATAGCAGCTGTGATATTAAGGCGCGTACAGCCAGATAAGAGTTAGGGACCATAGCCCAAGTCGGCCGCAGCTTTCATGTGGGAATTACAGAGTGATTAAATCGATGTTATGTGTTCCGAGACTTGGCGGGTAAAGTAAAGAGGAAAAATTATTCCATAAAAAGAAGGCCGCTGCCGCTTTGATGTCTGCCTCCCATTGTCTCCAAAAGAGACAAAGCAGAGGAGTGGGCTGGGGATGTACATCCCGGCTTTCATCCTGGCAGGGGCCGCTCTACCCTGTGTGTGTTACTTCATTAGATTAAAGAACTAATGATGGGTTGATGTCCTTTCATTGGAAACCACAATAGGTTGTGCTACGGTGAGTTATAAAGGCATGGATGAAAAAGCACTGAACCAGGGATTGAATGAAACATCGATGTCTGTTATCAACTGTAATTCACTGAGTGACTTTGGACATACCTCTCTCTGTCTCACTCTGCTCTCCAGGGTAAGCGAATAACACCAACTACTTCCTTGGCCTCGCAGGGCTCCGAGGCCTGTGAGAACCAGATTGATGAAGATGTCCCAATATCCTGTCTCCTCACTGAACTCGGTCACTGTTTGCCTCTTGACCCTGGTTTCTTGCTCCACGAGGCAGGACTGTCTCATGTCATGTCTTCCTGTGCACCTCTCTCTCTCTCTCTTTTTTTTTTTTTCCAGATTGTAGAGATGCTGTTTAATGCTCTAAACCAAAACTTGGTGCAGTTTGAGCTGAAGCCAGGGGTTCAAGTTATTGTGTTTGTCACACAGCTGACATTAGGTGAGTGCCTGCTGGGATCCAGGGGGAAATGGGGATGGTGATCTATTATCCTGGGGAGAAAAGGGAGGAGATCATTAGCAGACACTTCTCCACAAAGGCCTGAAAATAGGTTTGTGGGCAGGGCTCTTGTGTGTAGTGATGGTTACGAAAGATTAATCACAACTTTCTTGGGGCTTCCTGTTGAGGTGGCAAGAAGACTTCATTAGAAGTGGCTTTGCTATTGAATCTCTGGATGACCTTGGGGGAAAATCTACAATTTCCTTGGGCTTTGACTTAATTGTTTTTTGTTTGTTTGTTTATTTGTTTTTATCCACAACAGTCGGGATTATAGTGGGTAGTCCTCAGGGTGTCTTAATTTCTACAATTCTCCGATTCCATGAATCTTGGTTGGGAGGCCACAAGAGATAACTTTAAAACTCGTTTTGATTTACAACAGGTAAATCTAAATTGATACAGAGATCAGCTCTAGTGATTGATTTGTAAAAGGAATTTGAAAATGTATGTCCCATTGGGCATCCTCTACCGGCTCTCCAGGAGAGCCTATTTGCTAAATATCTCTTATTAATATAGGACTTTTCAGATGGGGAGGTTCTAAATGTGCCCACCCAGCAGTGTTTTCACAGAATGGTGTAAAGGAAGAGAATGAAACATTGCATCAATATTTAATCCAAAGTTCCCAATGGGCCACCTGTAATTATGTTGACAGGTACTCAGGCCTTCTAAGAGAAAGAGCACTCAAGCCCCTCTTCTCTACTCCCCTTAGCTAGATACACATTACTCAGTTTACACCAAGAACAGTAAGCTTCTCCAGGCAGAGCAGAGGAGTTTACTTGTCCTAAGAAGCTGTGATTGAGGATACTATTTTCATCATTGAAACCAAGCTTCCTGAGAGCACACAGTACAGGGCAGTTGGAGACTGGGTATAAGGATGGGACATCAGCTGGCCTCCTTTCTCCAATGGGAACTCCCTCCATCTAGTGGCTTCCAAGTGAGCCATCTGCTTTTTCCTCCTAGCTCCGTTGGTGGACTCCAGTGCTGGGCACAGCAGCTCGGCCATGCTTATGCTCTTGTCAGTGGTGTTTGTTGGCCTGGCTGTGTTTCTAATCTACAAGTTTAAAAGGTATGTGCTACTCTCACTCAATTTTGATATTGAAGCTGGATTCTTGGGAGCTGATTCTTCCTATAGCCAACATTGCTAAACTCATCCCACATAGGTGAAATTAATTCTCTTTGAAGCTCTGTTTGGCATTGGGGGAAAGCAGGAATGGTTGAGGGTCAAGGAATAAATGGGTTTAAGAATCTGAACTCTATCCAATTTATAGGTATATTGAGTTAGGAAAATAAGGGATAGCCTATGAAATCAATTTATTCTCTTTAAGAGAAGTGGAGAGAATTTTCAAACCTCACCTAAATTTCTAAAGTAAGGTCTTGGATATTCAGGAGATCTTTTCTACAGCTTACCACCCATTTAGGGTGGTTAAGTAGACCAAATGCAGCTGAAATCTGGAGCACACATGGACCCACACACGAGCATGCATGCACACGTGCACACACACACACACACACACACACTTTCCTATCTTGTGTTGCAGCTACTGGTCTGTGTAAATTTGCATGCTGAAAATATTCAACCTTTACCCTTTCCCTCTTTTTCCTGTTTCTAAAGGGCAATTGATCAGGAAAACTAAACTTCACATGTATTCAGAAATTATGTTTGAAGGCCACAGGAGGGGTGACACAACAGGATTCTTATTAAAACATGAAATTGAAGTCAATAATTCTGTACCATTATTTGAATAAGCTTCTACCAAGAGGTGTCCCGGTTCAGAGTATGAACTCTGCAATGAGACAGACCCCCAGTTTTAACTTAGCATTTGTAGCTTTGGGCAATTGAATCTGCCTCCCTAAGCCTTCATCTCTTTATCTGTAAAATGGAGAAGACAATACTTAATAGGCTTACTTGCAGTTTATTTATTTTTTTTAAGATTTTATTTATTTATTTGACAGAGCAAGAGAGCACAAGCAGGGGGAACAGTAGAGGGAGAGGGAGAAGCAGACTCCCCACTGAGCAGGGAGCCCGACGCAGGGCTCGATCCCAGGACCCTGGGATCATGACCTGAGCTGAAGGCAGACGCTTAACCATCTGAGCCACCCAGGCGCCTCTTACTGTGCAGTTTAAATATAATAACATCTATACCTGGTACATACTAAATAATCAACAACACTAAGCTATTTTAGATAACAGAGAACATGACGTCCAAAGGTGGCTTCTGTGTCCCAACACGGCACATGGTAGGCGCTCAAAAAATCCTATCAGTGGCACAGAAATGTGCTTCATACAAAGACTGGTTAAAGTAAAAATATCATTAATCATTCTGAAAGCAAAACTTGGTCCTGGGAGTCTTTCTAGATACTGAAGGTCATGCTTTTAGATTGTGAAAGCCATCAGTTGTAAAGGTGCTGTGCTCCACCCTCTCCCCCAGACCTCATTCGCTGCCCTCTGTTTGGGTAGCTCAGGCTTCAGAACACGGGTTTTCCTCAATATTCATCTCAGCATCACCAAACTAGCGGGGAGCCTTCAACACCCTCCATATCAGGACAGAGTTTTACCTTCCTACTCAATTAATAGACCAATGTGTGAATTCATATCCTCTTGGATCACGACATGCGAACCCACCTGCCCATGTTGCCTTTGAAGATGGGCACAAACCTTTGTATCACAAGTAGAGAACAAAGATTCCATATAGAAACGGTCTAGTCAAGGCAAGGCCCATTGGTGGATATACTGCAGTTACATGCAAAGCACACTTTCATTCATCCAAGGGTTTGATTGTGGGGAAGCCCAGTGGTTGCTGGAGCTTGAAGAGAAACTAAACCAAATCTGTCACCTTTTGGCTTCTAGAACCTCGTGGTTGCCCCGGACAAGGGCAGTAGAAGTCCTGCAAAAAGCTATTTGTGTCAGGCATCTCCAAACTAAGGCAAGACATCCTGTGACTTAGGAAGTTTTCTGTTCTCTTACAAATGCTGCTAAACTCCCTAGACATCAACCTATTAATGTAGGCATCTCTAAATGTGTACATTGGAATTCTTGAATCTCTGCCAGGCAATGACATCTCTGAATTATTCTACCTCTGTCGTTCCCCAGTATCAGCCAACTCTTTCCGTGTCCCTGACAGTGAGCTGTGTAGCTAAGGCCCACAGGGAACAAACACCACTCAGGCTGGATGAACAGGAGAGTCAGCTAAGTACACTTACCAATCATCCATTCCCTTTTCCTTTCTAGCTACCGTTTCTGGAAATTTCCTTCCCAAAGCTCAAAGCCCTTTGGTTGAGGTCCTCTTGGATCTTCTTTTATTTCTTTGGTCTTTTTTCCCTCCCCATCACCTGTTACTCTCTTGATGGCTCTCTGGAGGGTGCCGGGCTTGCTGATGAGTAAAGGTCAGGTTCTTATCTGTGCTTCCCAGAGGCTCCTTTGTTTCTTTAATCACCAATAGAACTTTCTGCGATGTCCGTAATGTATACTGCCCAATGCAGTAACCACTAGTATGACTGAGGAACTGAATTTTAAATTGTATTTAACTTTAATTAATTTAAATTTAAATACCTGCACCTGGCTAGCAAACATTCAGTACATCTAGAAAAAGGGCAGTTGTGTATCTGTTTCCAGATCACTGGCCACGCTGAGTTTTCAGACTCAACACTGTCTCTGTGTAATCATCAGCATTAACTCATTAAACCACTTATCCATCCAACAAACATTTACTGAGTGCCCACTATGTGCCAGGCACTGAAAACAATCTCAGTGCCCCAAGTGGTCACTTAACAGGGAAAAGAGAAGAGAGCTATGGTGAGCCCCAAGCTTCCTTTATGTAAATATCACCCTGTTTCTCACATTTGATCTTATTCTTGGATAGTTATTTTCTGAAGTTTTAGACAAAGTAATTAGAAATCATTATGATATGGCTTTTATTATCTGAAAATTCTGCCTAACAAGACTTTCTTTCTATACTGTAGATCTGGGTTTTTTTCTGGCTATCCAAGAAAACTTTTGAGCCTTTATATGTTTTTCCAGCCTTTTTTTTTTTTTTTAGCAAGTCTTTCATCACAGTCTGAGGCCTACTCGCTTCAGAGAAATTTAGAGAGACCTAAATTTCCTCCCACAGGCTCCTAACACTTAGAGCTGGAGCAAACAGAAACTGAAGTTTTTATGGGTGACTCAGTTGATCCATCTTCCTTCTCTTATTAAAACCTATATGAATATGTAGGCCAAGAGATGCCCCTAAATCTCTTTCTTTCCCACCTTTCTTACCTGCAAAAATGGGGCTTAGTCTGATATTCTCCCATCCTTCGAGTGCATGTGTTAAGAGATGAAAAGCAATTTGACAAGTTTTTAAAATGTGCACATGATGCCGTAAAATTGTATCCCTTCCAACCATCTTTGAAAAATGTTGAAGAATTTTCTGCCTGTTGTTTAGAGATTGAAATAAAGTGAACAATCTTTGTAAGGGAAGATTTATCCACATCCTCCCAGGTATCACTCGGGAAGTAGCAAGGGGGAGGCCGTGAACTCTGGCTACAGTTCTGAAGTACACAAACTTGTGGGATCAGGAGAGTTTGACCGCCTCCAGCACCTAATAAATGTTACAGCTGATCCCACCGCTCATGAGTAATATGTACGTTTATGATTAGAAGAAATCTAAGTCGTTAGGTTGCATTTCTATTTAGATAAGAGGAAAGTAAGGGCCAGCATGAATTTTTAATTATACATATTTAGAGAGCCTGCAGCCTGCTGACTCACATAGAATCTATTCATGTAGGGTCCTTGTAAATTATGTTAAGCTGGTTTAGACCAGTAGGAGTCACGAGGACACCTCTCTTAATGTATGAAAAGAAACCATTAAAGAAACAAAAACTGAATGTAAAGGAGTGGTAGGAACCACCCATGTTTCCTACCTATTTTGGGATCTTATGTATTAGCTACAAGCAAACCTCATTAAATGCTCCCATACTCTACCTCATTGGGGTTGGAGTGTGGAAGGGAGTGTGGAAGCTTGAAAACAGCACTGCTTGGTTGTAGGGCAACAGAGAGATTCTCCTTTAGAAATGCGCAGAATGTTCTGGATTGGGGTGAGTGTCAGATACCTTAAGTTTTAATAATATCATTGCCAGTGATCAGCTTCAGGAAATGTCTGGATTTTAATCTGATTTCCCCATCATTTAATGGGGTAAGAGAGGTCTCTTCTAGAGATAATATTCCGAGGTAAAATTGTGGTCTTTTTGTTTGAGAATCTAATATATGAAAGTAGAAAGAGCACAAGTTTTGAGGTCATCTGTTCATTCACTCAGCAAATACTTACTGAATATCAACCATGTGCCAAGCACTGTGCTAAATTGCATGTACAGCAGAGAAGACAGAGAATATAGATTCGGCACACATGGGAAACAAAGTCAGCAGACTTGCCTCTTACATCACCCTAAACCCAGCACCCTATTCATTTATTTCATAAACACTGTCCCATAATTCTATATTTTTCACAGGAGAGGTGGGGTAGTCAGAAGTCTCTCAGAACCAAGTTCTGAAGGACAAAAAGGACACCATCATTAGAAGAGTAGAAGGAAGAGTGTTCTAGAGGGAACAGCTGGTTTCAAGTCCCCAAGGTGGGGATGAGTTTGATGTACTAGGTTCTTGCAACTCAAAGTTTGAGGCTCAGACCAGCAGCCTCAGTGTCACCTGGGAGCTTGGCAGAAATGCACTATTTCACCCCATCCTGTCTGGACCTGTCGAGTCACAAATGCACGTTAGCGAGAACCCGGGTGAGAAATAAGCACATTAAATCTGAGAAGCACTCGGTGAGAGGAATTCACAGGAGGCTACAGGCCTGGAAGCCAGTGGGTCAGGGGATATGGAGAGGGGTCAGAAGATGAATCCTCTAAGAAAATTCCAATCTCAACCAGCCGCTCCTCCAACCTTAAGTCTTTCTGACTTGTTTCCAAACCTACAACCTTTGTGTCTTTGAAGGAGATTATTTAGCTTCTCTTAATCCTTGCTTTAATCCTTTACACAATCCTACAAGGAAGCTATTGTTACTCCCATGGAGCAGATGAGGAAACTGACTATCCAAGTATTTAAGATCTTTGGCCCACAAGTGGTGTTCTGAAGATAGGATCAATGGCTAGAAACCTTTTTTTTCTTGGCTCTTCATAAAGGAAACCAATGTGAATTGATTAACTTGATGCAACCTTAGAAAAAGATGTCTTTTCACTGTGATATAATCTTATGCCTCTCAAAGTCCAGCTCCTTGTAAAACTTAGTGAGGGATAAGTATTTTAAGGGTTTTAGTGCATACCTGCTTAGCAGTATTGCCCTTCTGTTGACACCTGTTTGGTTTACCCCAGAAGAAGGTGCATTCTTCAGGGAGTTCTGTGGTTTACACTTCCCCTGGGCATCTGGTCTTTGGCCTTGTGTTTCTTGGCCTCACGGCTACAATATCTGGGTGACCAGCCCCTTTCCCAGACGTTTGGCCTGTCCTATAAATAGCTTATTCCTCCCCCTTATGGCCCAGAATCTCCCAGTGGCCCAAGTTTGGCATACCCTGTGATCATAATCTGATTTTTGTAGGAAAATCCCCTGGATTAACATCTATGCTCAAGTCCAGCACGACAAGGAGCAGGAGATGATTGGGTCAGTGAGCCAAAGTGAAAACACCCCCAAAATCACACTCAGTGACTTCACCGAGCCCGAGGAACTGCTGGACAAAGAGCTGGACACCCGGGTCATAGGTATGTGTGCAGGTATCACCAAGCTCCTGTGTCCTCCATCCTCCAAACGTGAGGGCAGTCAGCCCACATGGCCTGTCCGTCAACTCATGTCAAACTGGAGGGGGTTGGGAAACGGCTGGCTACAGAGACGTAATCGAGTTTTAAAATTTGTCTGCCGCCTGTGGCCACATGAAAGTGGCAGATTTTTTTTTTTTTCCCTTCCCTTGAAAATAGACCAGGATGGAAAGTGCTGGAGTCAGAGTGGGGGAGGGATGAAGCCAACTCTCCATCACCGTTGGGATTTTTCCTTTCCTCTATGAAGCAAAAGCATCAGATGTCCTCATTCGTAACCACATGCAAGAGGGCTCTAGAACATTCCTCATCTGTGAAATGGGAATAATAGTACCTACCTTCTGAAATTGTGGTGATGATGAAATGAGAGTGTGTCATTAGCCCGGTGCCTGCCGCAGAGGACGTGTTCACTGCATGTTGGCTCTTAGTGTTGTCATCAGTGGGGTGTAAGGTGACAAGTCGTTGCTCCCCCCTCGTGTGCTGCTGGGGGAAACGGACACTTTAAACCTAGGTGACGGAAGCCGATGCGCTGGTAGTATAGAGTAGCCAGGTGTCCCGTTTAATAGATACCCATCGAGCACCCGTTCAAGATGGCTTGGTATGTAGCAGTGAATAAAACAGACAAGATTCCTGCCCTTGTGACGCTGACATCCTCGTTCCGTCTGTCTGTCTTCTCTCCCCCGCAGGAGGCATTGTGAGCATTGCGAACAGCGAAAGCACAAAGGAGATCCCCAACTGCACTAGCGTTTAATACCAACCAGCCACGTGGTCGGCCATCTTTCTGACTTTATTTTTGATGATCACTATGACTATGATGGAAAAAATGAAAATGTCTTTTTTACCTTTTGTTTACAAGGGCCCCTTCATAAATAGCAGGCAGATGCTTAGCTTTGGGAGGCAAAAGGCATTCTTAGCTGATTAAAACGAGACAAAAAGAATAAATGGCTGTATTTGTGCTAAGGGCAAAGGATGCATCTTCCCATGGCCGCCTTGCTTTATTCTGCCACTGACCATATGAGGACTCCTTTTCCTCGTGGTCTCTTCATTTTTTTTTCTTTTTTTAAGTTGAGTTGGCTTCTCATTAACCTCCCATGTCCCCCCCTCCAGCCCCCGCAACATCACCCACACCCTCCCCCCAGCACACACACTCTAAAAAACACAGACCATTTCCCAGTTAGATCTACAGGAGGTGGGTTGGTGGGGAGTGAAAGTAGGTGCAGAAAGCGTGCGCACCTTTACGAGAAAGAGGCCCTGCCTCGTGCATGTCAATAGCGAGGCTACAGATGGCTTACTGTATATAATTACAATGTAAATAGCTTTTTATTTCCTAAGAAATAATTTAATGTTTAGTAAAAAAGAAAACAGAAAAAAGAAAGATGTGTGTGTTGGCTTATGCACTCACCCTCAGAGCTGACCAACCCCCAGGCCTGCTAGACGTGTTGGGTTCTGGACGCTCTCCAGTTGTCTGTCACACTTAACTCTTGCATCTCTGTGTCCATGCCATAGCTGGTTTCTACTTATGTATATAAAGGGGCGCAGGGTGGGCTTCTTTGGGCCAAGTCGTTAAGGAAGGAGTAGACTGACATCCTAGAACATGGGGGGCTTTCTATGCCATCAGTGACCTGGAAGAAGTTGCAAGACGAAGCCCACCAGAGACTTCAAACTGAGACGCAGGTGGGGCAACAGGCTTCCCCTCCAAAAGGAAAGCGTGGAGGATGTTGATCAGCCTGAGAAAATGGGTTTTCTCTAAAGAAGCTCGGCCGCGGATCAGAAAGGGACCGTTTTTCTGCTTTCTGGTTGGATTCCTTCTGGAGAATTCTTGGGCTGTTTTGAGCTCAGAAGAGTCCCCTCGGCCTCGGGCGAGGCCTAGTGAGTGCATCTGGGCACAGGAGGAGTGAGAGCGCTTGGGAGGGATGGGGCATTTGCAACATCACGAGTCTGTGTAAGCCCTTGCAGGCCAAAGAGGGGGCTAGCCTTTCATGATATTAGTCCAAGATGATTTTAGCAAAGCTGTGCTATATGCTTGTCAGATGTACACAACTTCCTTAAAGTCAAATGTCTGCCTTCAGTTCCCTTAAGATAGTTCTTGCCTCTGGGTGAGCGGCTTTCCAAGCCAGCTTTCTCGTTCCCAGCCCCCTGGCCCCTCCGCCCATTCGCACACACCACTTCTGTTCCCTAGGGTCACTTTAAGCCATGCCGTAAGCATTGTTTTCTTTTCAGGCGCAGCCTGAGTACACTTGTTTTACAAAATGATATACTGTATATATATATATGGGAGGAAGGGCCGGATTTTGTACCTGTTAATTTTTGTGAGATATCGTTCGCCTTCTTTGTGAGACCCTGAGAGAATGTGACCTAGAGAAGGCTGACTGGCTACAGCGTAGATCAGGAAGAGGAGTGCTTCTAGGGATCCTGCTTTTTTGTTTCAAGGGTTAAAAATGGGCAGACAATTGCAATACTTGTACTAAATACTGGAATACAAATGCATGAGTCATGTCTATATATACAGTATATGTACATATACTGTTCTTGATTTTATTGTTCCATTTGAATATTTCTACTGTAAAAAAAAAAAGACAGTGGTTTTGAAATTGTTGAAAATAAATGTATTTTTGTACATCAAAGCTATATACCTGGCTGAGATTTTTCTCTTTGGGCTGGTTTCTTCACCTATTGCTATCAGTCAGCTATCGCGGCAATAAGGCTACATGGCCAAAACCGAAACAGAACAAATAGCTTATAACCCAGATATTTATGTTTTACTCATGAATCTCCAGGTTGGTTGCGGTTTGCCTGAACTCCATTGAACTGACCTGGCTCTCCTGAACTAGTTGGGATGCTGGCTTCAGTTGGGGGTCCAGGCTTGCTTCATGAGTTGTCATCTTCTGGGACCAGATGCCACCCAGGGCATGGTCTTTCATGGTGGATTACAGAATTCCAAGTGAGGCCAGCAGAATACTCTTTGCCTGTAAGGCCTTGGCTCAAAATGATCATCCTGTTTACCATTGTCTCCATTCTGTTGACTAAAGGAAACCACGTGGCCACGTCCAGCATCAGTGGGCCAGGGAAATAGGCTCCGCCTCCTCTGGTGTAAGGTACCACAAAGTTACATGACAACAGTGTGACAATAGGATTCTGGTCTAGGGGAGGGCATGATGTGTTGGGAACAGTAGTAACAATAGTTCAGTCTACTCTACTTACTCATTTTCTGTGGTCCTGCGGGGAGCTTTCATTAGATGGCCCATATTCAAGTTTCCCACCCCAATATTTGTGGCCAGGAACTTCTGAGTGGAAGGTTTGGCAACCACAAGGTCTTCGAGTGGCATCAGATCGCACTGAGTGGTAGATAGAACTGCAATACAGGCCTTGAAGACTTTAGCAGAGAAAATGAAAAGAGGAGAGGGAACCAAGAAGACGTATATATTTTTTTTCACTATTATTATTGTTAACCTTTTTAATGCTGTTTGATGCATCAAACCAGCAAAAGATCTTCTCTTGCCTACCGCTGAGTAAGGAATTTGGAAGAATGAGTGAGTGGCTCTTCTCCACATTAGATCATAAGGGAACGTGAACTAAGTACTTAGAATAAGGGCTGTAAGTTAGATGTTTTAATCTTTTTAGTGTTCAAACTATGTAATAAATTACCATGGATCCCAGAAACCCAAGAAACGAGAAAACTTTTGTCATTAATTTACTCCTATATTTTGGATGCTAGCTGACCATTCCAGAATCATATTTTCTGAGCTCAAATGATTAAGACGTAGGATGAAACAAAGGTTTTTCTTTTGATTTGTGAATGTGATTTTTTAATTTAAAGCATAATTTAAAAATTATGTATTATTCTTGGTGTAACTGTTCTTGGGTTCTACTCACCTTTTAAAAATTGTAATATATAATTAACTTCTTCAAATATTGAGGATGTCATTTATGTTACCTCTAAAAGAAACATTTTTTTTTGGTCTAACTAGTGGTTCGTAACATAAAGTGCCTGCACATCTTGAAGGGGTTTATAATGAGCTTCCCCAGTAATGTAATATGTCTAATATTCTGATCCCACATCAAAAGTGATTTATCCAAATGCAATGGTTTTTGCTTTCCAGTGGGATCTGAGCCCTTCCCATGTTCGTTTACGTCGGGGTTGATAAAATCACTCCACCGGATTAAAAAGGACAGAAGTGAGATATGTGGTAAAACAGCATTAGTCAGCTGGTTCCTTTGGGCTAAGCCATGCTAGGAATAGAGCCTGGGCATCCTCCACCAGCACAGGTCTGCCAGATTTCTCATAGCAGACAGGCGAAGGCAGATGGCAGAGAGTGTGACTGGCTTTGTAGTTATTTCTCTGTGGGGTTTCTCATCGGAATTGTCTTCTCTCAGGAGATTCTAAACCCAATAAGCAAGCCCCAAGAAGTCCTCAGGGTGGAGCCCAGCTATCAGCACCTGAAGCAGAGCTTCTGAGGATTCTCCTGTCGAAGTTAGAGAATAACTGCTCTATCCGCCACTGAAATCACTCAGGGAGAGTACTGGGGAAAGGGCACCTCCCCTGGCTCCTGTTACCATGATACAAGGCACCTTCATCTGCAGAAATGAGAACCACTTCCAAATTGGCTCGTTTCCTCCTGGGCAACAGCTGCAGCTCTGAGAGAGCCACCCGATTGAGTTATCTGGAACAAAAACACACTGCGAGTCAAGGTGGTGATGGATTGCGCCTTGGAAAGAATATTAAGCCAGGAATTAGGAGATCTCTGACTTTCAGCCAGTCACTCTGGACCACGATTTCTTATTTGCAAAAGGCAAACACTTTATGGCCTGACTCACTGGCTACTTTGGATTTACAGAGGTGCGAAGAGCACATTGCCAATTCCAGAATTGTTAGATGACTAGGATGAGCGTACATAGGAGATCTCTCTTCGTCCGTAGCCGGGTCAACTGGGAGGCAGAGAGTGAAGTGACTTCCCTAAGGTTAGACAGCAAATGAGTGTGGAGCTGAAGATGGAACCCGTATCTTATTGATATTAGGGCAGTGTTCTTCCCACCACATACCCTCCTGACGAAGGCAAAACTGAACGACACGTTACAGAACGTCAGTGGACAGCCTGATGCTTATGCCAGGATGGCTCCTGTATTTCGAGTGTCTGGAGCGGTTTAGAATCTAACTTCCCAAGTGTGCTCCTCATCCAGTGGCTCACACGCTCCACATGTCATTGCCCTGCTGACCCACTTGTTTAGCAACCCATGGCCTGATGCCCTTGCTTCCCTCACTGGGCAGAAAGAAGGCTGCTCAACAGACAGCTGCCAGGCCCCAGCTTCCCATGCTATGCTGCTTGCCTTTTAAAGCAGCTGGCCTCGTTCAGAGGGAAGAAGGCCAGAGAGCAAACATAAGCAATGGGAATGCCTCATCCTGACACACACACCAGATCCTGCCAAATTCTCTTGTCTCATCCAACGGTACTGCCAAAGGGGACCAGATGTAGCCCAACAATTTCCTCCCGAGTACTACTACATCTTGATGTCCCTTAAACTTGGTTTAATTGCCATTAACTTTACAGTAGCACAGTGCCCTTTAAAATGCTCTTTGCTTCTGTGTTCTCAGGCCATATATCATGATGAGATAGCGGTTCATTCAGAGCGGAATCGATGGGACGTTGTATACAAAAATGGGAGGAGAGCCTCAGAGTTCAATTTATTCAGAGATGAAAAGTTGCAATAAAACTCCATTACTTTTTCATTGTCTGAGGCCCAGAGGGGTATAATGACATAATCAGGGTCCAATTTCCTATCTATAAATTGACAATAATGACATCTATCTACCTCACGGGGTTGGAACCCAGATCAAATGAGATAATTTGGGTAAAAAAACACAAAATAACTAGGGCTTGACAAATAATGAATTGAACCTGAGAAGCCCAAGTTCTTTTGTGCTGGATCTCCTTTCTCTGTCCCCCCTGGCCTCAAGTTGTAAAAATTATCTGACCAGTCTCTTACCTACTCTCACCTAAGGCTGTACTTTCAGGGAAAGAATCACAATTACCTGGGGAGACATACCGTCCTCCTCAACTCCCCCTCAAAAAGAAGAGAATTTTGGTTAAAATCAGCTATTTACACCTTAATCCCAAAGGTCACAGCTCCTTTTATTGTCTTTTTTTTTTTTTTAAATATAAATGATCTAATTTTCCTTGTGATACAGTTAGGGACCATGGGAGCAATCCGCAGGTGAAAAACATGCACCTGGAACACTTTCTATTGGCTGTTATTGTCAAAAAGTTTCTCCTGCAGAGCAGAATCAAGATGTTGCCCCAGATACAAGCTGGACTTAAAACAGAAGACCCTAACTCCAAAAACCACCAAAGCGTGCCAATATCGACCAATCAGGATGAGGCTCTTCCAGCCAATCAGGATGAGGCATTTTTTTTCTTCCCTTTATTAGCATATTGGACCAGAGTAAGAACTTGGGCGGGGACTTTCTGTATATAAATGGGGCCTCCACTATTCTTGGGGAGGTTAGTCTAAGGACTTTGTGTCTTTTTTTTTTTTTTAATTATAAAGGGGGGTGGTGGTGCCGTAGCTCCAGTAAAGCCTTTCCTGTACCTTCGACTTCTGGGTCTGGCCACTACATTTTATATATCTGAAGTACCAAGGATGTGTTTCTTGCCTTCAACTCTGGTCACAGCTCGAGGAGAGCTCTTTCAGAGAGGGAGCACGAGATGCAGATTCTTTTCAAAATGTCACCCAAAGACAAGAAAATAGATCATGACAGGCACGCATGCCATCTGTCATTATGGCTCAGTATCTGGGGGACAGCACTGTTTGAAGCTATTAGAAATGAACCAGATAAAGTGGGGCCTTCAGTAATTTGCTCCTGAGAAAGTATGCGGTCTGCTTCTGGAAGAATAGAGACTTCTTGAGCTGAAATATCTGTGCCCAAAGTGTCCGATGAGCTGAAGCCTGCTAGGCTCTAAGGATTTATCCCCACTAAGGTCCTACTTCTCCTCCCCAGAGGCTCTCCCAGGAGCCCCTTCTTATGATGCAGAGTCTTTTGTTGCTTATTCTCCCTTGCAGAGGGTTATTGCTGTCAGTACTCCAGGAACTGGCTGCAGTTAAGAGTATGTCCAAACACGGCGGATGGAAAGAGAAAGGAGGCCACACAAGAAGCAACAGAGAACAGGATTGTTTTTCTTGTCACTAATCTATCTTCCTTGGTTTTCATGCACTGACCTTCCAAAATCTTGTGGTTCAATTAGAGAATTGCTGGGCTTCTTCCATTGGCAGCTGGGATATTTTGTGGGAGGGGCACTGAGGGAGGAAGATGAGAGAGATGAGTCTAGAGAAATAAAGTTAATCTTTGTCAATTACAAAGCTTTACTTGACACATTCTCATTTCAACCTGTCAATTTCAGATTCTCCTCTGTGTGGGGAAAATACAGATGCTCCCCAGATTTCTAATCTATTTATAATGGTAACAAGACAACTGTAGGCAGTGTGTGCTCATCATGAGCTAATCATCCTCTGCTATGCCTTGTGCCTCCTAATTAGTGGCCTGTTGGTTGCCTACTGATCAAGTTGGAGCCTCATCCAGGCAGTAGGGAGGGAAGGTAGGGGGAGAAAGAATTCTGAGCCCAGTG